GCAGTAGAAAGACCACCGGCTATACCAACTATCGTTGCAATAACATAAGCTCTATTAAAACGTTCTTCATAAGTATAAGTGCATTCATCAAATTAATTAATCAAAGAATCATCCGAGGGGATGCCTCCTATTTACGATCGTAACACTACAGTTTTTTTGCCTTTGACACGATATTTATGAATAAGAAAGCTGGAAAAACGATTTTTGCCCTCAAACTGTATCTATAGATAGTTCTTGAAATTATTAGAATCTTGTAAAATTTTCAGCTAAAAAGAGGAATCTCTTGTCCAAGTAAAAAAGAACTCTGCGTATGAAGAAAAATCCTTCTAGACTTCTTCTAGTTTCAACAATTTCTGTGTAATCACTCAAACCTCAACTCAAATGTGAAGCATCACTTCAGACGGTTATCTTATTAGTTTACTTGTATAATGGTTAATAAAAAATAAATATTTCCTTTGTTCTTCTTTGTATTTTAAGACAATTCTTATAAAATTACAATATCTCTCAAATATTTTCGACATTTTATTCAAACAATAAACTTATACCATGAAGCAAGAAAAACTCGTTTAACAGAAAATTTACAAACAGCTCATGAACAATTAATTATAAAGCGTCAAAAAATGGCTAGTCGCTTTTATATTATTCTTTTTGTTGCAGCACTTGTAATTATTGTAACTTTCACTGGATTAAATTCACAGATATATTCTATGACAATATCGTCTCCAACTGAATTCATATTTGAACAATTACAAGCTCAATATTCATCATCATTATCATGTCCATGTTCACAAATAGCAATTCAATATTCAAATTTTCTTTCTGTTAAACCTATTGCTTATCATCAAGTATGTTCAAGTTACTTTGTCTCAGATGATTTTATTAAATTACTATGGGGTACTGAATTATACAGTAGTTATTATTGGAATGTAGACATAAAAATCTTAACTACTCAATTTCGTATTTTAGCATCTTTTTGCTCTCTTGCAAAAAATGTAACCAACAACAGATTGAAGAATTTTATTCTCAAAAATTTATTAGTGTTGAAACATTAACACGTCTTTCTTTCCAAACTCAAATCGATTCCATTATTAATAATTTTATTGATCAAGCACCAGTGAGTTTTCGACGAATACACAAATCTATCATAGAAATATTTCATGCTAATCAATTACATAATACATTCTATACAAATTGGAATCTCGCTATATCTAATATTAATGATAATTTTATTATGTCAACAAGTCCAATATCATATAATAATAGTGATAGTTCATGTTCATGTGCAACCATGTCAACATGTTCAAAATCTCTTTTGACGAGTTATAACAAAAAGGATATATTGCCAGGTAAAGTGCTTATTTTTAAATTAACCACAGTAATTATTTGACCAAATATATACAGCAGGGTCGAAAAAAAAATTGCCGTTAGATATTTCAGAATTTCTTCTACTGAAAGTAATGAATAATAGAGAAAGTTACTCGACCACCATTCATAACTTTTCAACTAACCTGAATTATGCGTCACTAAATGGTCAGATAATTATTTCGTGCAAATGCACCTCAAAAATTGCTGTGATAGTCCTGATACATCACAGTGCTTCATTCTTAGTTTTTTTTGGGAAATTGTATATCAGATGATAGGGATAGTTTCGGATAGTATTATGATAATCATTACTTCAACAGTGTAAGATAATTGATCAATCCGTTGAAATTTGTATGCTAAACGACAATTTTTTGCATCCTACTGCATAATTTGAATGTTGAATACTGATGTGATTCTTGTTTCCAAAATGTATGTATCGGTTTAAAATTGATCTCTTATAAAATTCTTTATGAATACAAGTAAAATATCTATAAAGTCTTCTTAATCGATCGAAGACATTTTACAGATATTTATATTCAAATAGTTGAGCTCGAAATGGATTGCGAATAAAACTAAGTCAAAGAAAATTGATAGTAGATAAGATAATATACTTTACCAATATTCATTCTTTATTATTAAATAGATTATCTTGAGATTAAAAAAGACTTCTGGAGCTGTCCTAAAACGTAGTAAATATCTATTTCACGATATAAATTACTTATCACTAAAAAAAAAGAGAGGCAAGATTATTCATAATAGAAAACTTTTAATCTTTTAAATAGGTCTTGTTCTTGGTTGTTTACCTATTTATGGTCTACGTCTATCGACATTAGAATGTCTCTACAATTCAACATGCTTACAGAAATTATTTAATTTGACTAATCGTATAGAAGATATTCCATCCTCTCTTGATATTTCGATATATACACGATTTAGTCCAGTATCATCAATAACTATTGGTACATTAATTGATGAATTATTTATTGAAGTATGGCAAAACGAAAGTAACTATTCGAATTACTTTTCAATTTGTGCACCATTAACGTGTCGATATACTTATGCAAAAAGAAATGATGTTCTCTATATATTAACTACATTTCTAGGCTTATATGGTGGATTAACAGTTGGCTTAAAATTTATGGTTTGGCATAGTTTGCATATTAATTCGCAAGTACAACAACGGTTCACTGTTCACCGAAGACGTATTGAATCTATAAATTACAGTTAACAATATCTGAAAAAAGAACTATTGATATATTTATATATATATATATATCTTGCTTAAAAATAAAATAAAATATTTGAGAGAAATTTTTTTATGATTATGATTGGATAAATGTGCTTGAATTTGTCATATTGAAAGAGTTCAAACATTCATTTTCATAGATAATCAGATTTCTTTACACAAATTCAATAAGCATGAATAGCGCACATAATAGTTTACATAGTTAATTTTAGCAAATCTGATCAATTGGCATTAGCAAAAGAAAAAAATTTTTGTTATCCACAGATCAGTGTTACAGCTAGTAATGGTAAACGATCGGTTCGATCACTTATCTGGGACAATTGAGATTACTAAAGTTAATTCTGATGGAGATAACTTTGATTAATGTCTGATATCTCCAGTACAGTTTAAAATGTTAGCAGTGAGAGAAAAGTTGTTGGTGTAGCTTTTACTAAGAATCATGGCGCTAAATTCAACAAATAACAAAAAACCAATCTTTTCACTACAAAAAAAAAGAAGTCAAAGAAAAAAATAAGTTTTTGATAGATCATATTCAACAATGTCTCAATGACACACAATGAAAAAAAAATCAAAATTGTTGGTATTATTAAATAACAAGAATATTAATAAAATAAGATGACATATCAATGTTGTTAAAGTTTTTATCTTATTTTTTATTTAAATTCGATGTTATTGTTACACTCTGTCCATAGTTACTGTCAAGCAATCTAATTCACATTAAAAAAAAATACTATTACAATTCTTCTGTCAAAATTGTTTACTCACAATGTATAATGATTGACTAATGTACAGTTTTCACATTTGAACACACCTCCAATTTTTAAATTTATTATCGCTAGATAGAATTTTAAAAAATTATTTTAAATTCACGGTCACTCGACGATAGAATGAATAGAAAATAATATTCGAGAACAGAATCTCTTTTACATAAGAATACTAATGAGTTTATATGTCTTCATTAAGTTCAGATGATAATCAATATAAATAATGATAAACAATGATCATTGAGTGATCACACAGTAATTAATAGCAAGATAGAAGGTCGAATGAAGTTAATCAGATATAATTGATAGTTGAAATAAATTTATTATTCGTGGAAAAAGACTATACATAATTGAAATACCTGTCAAGCTTGAGGACCCTATAGGAAGCTTCGTCAATTAAGTCTATTTGTCACATTGTATGAGGCGAGTAGAAGAGGGAGTCCTTCACTTTTTCCGTATACCTTTTCTCAATGACATTTTTATTAGATACTAATGAGTTATTAATCAGAAATGTCTCTCGCAGTTTATTGCAGTCATGATTTGGATGATATAATTCGAAAGATTCATGTCGAACAACATTTTTGTTTCGAATATCATAAAATAACATTTTTATATTCAATTTTAAATTCTGAATTAAATATAATCCTTAATAAAAGAAAAAAAAATGCTTGAAACTTTTTCAAAAATAATCATTTTTAGTCATTGTAAACTGTTTTTTTTTCACGATCTGTAGGTTTCTTGAATTGTGTTTTGCAAAAACTTAATAGATTCGTTTTAAAAATCGTATATTTCAAACGTTCTATGGCATGTGCTATGAATGAACCAGAACAATTTTATATGATGTATATTTGACATCGATTGTAGCAATAAGTGTAACCATTTATAACATAAACAATAGAGATAAGTCTGTCTTATTCATGCATTTGCATGGTTTTTTTTTCTTACTCATGAGAAACGTGTTTTGTTTATGCTTGAAAGAAAAAGTAGCATATTTCTACGATAAAAACAAAAGCAATCGATTGATGTTTAATACAATCGAATAAACATTAGTTTCGTCTGCACAAACTGATACGACACATAATCAATTAGCATAAAAAGAGAAGAAGACTAATCATAAACTCTTCTTATCATTAAATGTTGTTTTTTCGTTTTATTTATTTATTTGTAATCACGTGCCTTTTTCTTTCCTATTTCCATGCACTATTGATTTATGTTTCTCGTTAAATACTGACTTTATTTATTCGAACTTGTCACACATTACAGTTGATCGACAGGGATTAGAGGTTTTTTTTATTCCTAACAATGAAGTATGAAGTGGCTAATGATAATGTAAATGTTCTTGGTTCGTCATTAAGGGTGTGTGGGTGTGGGTGAATGTGAGAGAAGGGAAGATACCCACACCTCCCCCCGCACTCGCACCCAAACCCCGCCCCCTCCCCCCACACCCACTCACATCCACCCAGACCCACCCACACCTACATCCACACCCTTTTCATGTTTTGGAATGCTTCTTCAAATTTACCCTGATGATAGAATGCTACAGCTAAATGACTGTAAATTCGAGCCAAATCCATATCAGCAGGTAGCAGAGAATTCAATTGTATTACAAGTACTTTTTGAAGATATTCAATAGCTTTATCATAGTCATTGAGAGCAATATAAATCAATGAAATATTATGGTAAGATGAAGCCACATTTGGATGATTTGCTGATAGAAATTGTAGCAAAATTGTATCGATTTCTCAGACATTTCTAATGCTTCTTTGAATTTGTTTGCTTTGTAATATGCTAAACCTAAATTGTTATAACTTTCTGCAAGTGTTGGATCATTTGGTGAAAGTGACTTTAGCTGTATATGAAGTGTCTTATTAAGATATTCTATAGAATTATTATAATCACCCAATGCTTCATAAATTTCTGAGATTTTATTGTAAGGCACGATAATATCAAAGGGATCAGACGCCAGTGATTCCAACTGTATGCCAAGGCATTTATTATACACATTTAGGGCTTCTTCAAGTCTACCATGTTTGTAATATGCTGCACCTAAATCTTTATAAGTTTTTGCAATAGCTAGACTGTTATGTATAGTTGAGTTAAGCTATATTTCAAGTATTTTGTTTAAACATTTAACCGTCTCCTCATTGGTACCTTCATGCATATGCACAATCAAAACTTGTTCATACGTTTTTATGATATTTGGATGATCAGGTGGATAAATTTTCAATTGTATCTCAAGACATACTTCAAACATTTGTATTACTTCTTGAATTTTATTTGTTTCAAAATATGTTGAAGCTAAACTGTTGTAAATCGTAGCTACAGAAGGGTGATACGATGAAAGTGAATTTAATAGTATAGCAAGTGCTTTGTTCAGATAATCGATTGCTTTTTCATGTTCACCAAGTGCACTGTAAACTTGCGACATGTTAGTATACGACGTTGCAATGTGAGGATGATCCGATGGTAGAGCTTGAAGAAAAATCTTTAAAGAGTTTTCATACATTTGCAATGCTTCGTTGAATTTCCCTTGTTTGTAATATCCCATACTCAAACTATTGTAAGTTGTTGCAAAATGCGAATGGTTTGGTGAAAGGGAATGAAGTTGAATTTCGAATGCTTTCTTTAAATACTCAATCGATTTATCATAATCATGAGGCGACTCATATACTCCTGAAATATTAATATAAGATACTGCAATATCAGGATGGTTCGATGGAAAGATTTTTAATCGAATTTGTAGCGATTTTTCAAACATTTCTAACGCTTCTCGTAGTTGTCTCTATTTATGGCCAATGATGCCAATTTCGTTATAGATAACAGCAATATCAGGATGATTCGATGGTAGGAAATTTTCCTGAATTACTAGAGCTTTCTTGAAATAATCATGTGCTATATCGTACTTGCCAAGAGCAGTGTAAATCATTGAAATACTATTGCAAGACGTTGCAATACTAGGATGATTCTTTGCTAAACTTTTTAATTGCGTCTCGATACATTTATCATGCATTTCCAATGCTTCATTGAACTTTCCCTGTTCATAATAGAAGCGTCCTAAATTATGATAAGTTTTTGTAAAATCGGAATGATTTGCTGGTAAGGAATTTCTTTGTATTTCATATTTTTGCTTTAAGTATTTGATCGCCTTATCATAATCACCGAGAGAATGACACATTAAACCAATATTATTGTAAAGTGTTGCAAACGATGGATGATGGATAGGTAAAACTTCAATGAATATATTCAGAGATTTTTCAAACATTTGTAAGGCTACTGAATCACCTCTTTGTGTATTGTAGACGTTACCAATATTAGGGTGTGGGTGTGGGTGTGGGTGTGGGCGTGGTGTGGGTGTGGGTGTGGGGGTGGGGGTGGGGGGGGGGGGGGGGGGGGGTGGGGGGGGGGGGGGGGGGGGGGGTGGGGGGGGGGGGGGGGGGGGGGGGGGGGGGGGGGGGGGGGGGGGGGGGGGGGG